CAGCATTGACCGGTGTGTGTCTGTCCTCTTCCCAATCTGGCATCGCTGTTCCCGGCCAAAGCATTTATCCCCTGCTGTGTGTGGCCTCCTGTGGATCTGCTCTTTTCTCCTGACTGGAATTTGGAACATCTTGGAATATGCATTTGAATATGATGGCATCATGAGTTCTCATTTGCTTGTGCCTGCCGTGCTTTGCCTTCCATCGATCACAACCTCTACTGTGATCCTATTCCTCAAAATAGGTCTTAAACCCAAACAGAACAAACGGGGGAGACTTTTGGTGACCATCTTAATTACTCTTCTCTGTTTCCTGATTCTTACTTTGCCATTATATCTCTTTGTGTTCACTGTTAATTTTCTTGGAATCAGTTACGATTCTATATTTCCTGAATTGGATAACTATTTCTTTGTATGTGCTTGCTTAAACAGCAGTGTTAACCCAGTGATCTACTTTCTGGTTGGGAGAAGGAAAGGAGCTCAATCCAAGGAGAGCCTGAAGGTTATTTTTCAAAGAGTCTTCAACGAAGATGAAAGTGCTGGAAATTTGTAGAGTTCAAATCCACTTAATTCATCCTCTGTAAAATTATAATTTTAGAATGTCACTAATGATGGATATCACTTATCATGACAAAAATGTTTTTCTTGCTATAGAAATAAAAAATTAAAAGTTTTTCCCCCCACAGATAAGACAATGTTATTTGGCTTTATCTTGAAATTTGGCAAAAGATTTGGGAAGGCAGAATATTCCCTCCACTGCTATAGCTTATGTACCCAGAACCATACCAGAAAAATTATCAAAATGACTGTACCATAACTTAAACTCTGTTGCAGTTGAGTTTAATGATAGAGCTATATCTCAGGGATAGGGCAGAGAAATGGGTCCCACATTTGTCACCAAACTTATACATATTGAGATGGGAGTAAGTCCTCCTGGCTCAACAGGGTTCCTTCTGGAGTAGATACGAATGAGATGATATTTTACAGCTGTAATCTTATATCTGGGATTCAATCTCTTTGAACATACTGGCTCTGACTCCTGAGCGGAAGTTTCAGAGACATAGAGCAGCAGTTCTGAAGGGATGTTGTGGAGGGCACTGTCCAGACTACATTATTTCCAGGTGACTTGGGGACGGGGGTCTGAGAGGCTAGTGAAAGGCCCTTTATCTTCAGGATGTTAAATTATAGCCAACGGGCACCTCGCCTATCAAGGACACATCACAGATGGGAAAGAACATTCACCAATTCACTGCTACAGTGCCTTGAGACAATCAAATAACTAACAATTGGGGGAGATGATCTCATGGTTGTATTTGAAGAAAAGATCCCATACATTTAAGGTGCTAAATTGTAGCCAAAGGACTCCCCAATAAATTCAGATATCTCATAGATAGGAGTGAACATTCCACTATGCTGCCCTGAGAAAATCAAAGATCCATCAACTGAAGGATATAAAAATCATGGTTTTATTTGATGTCACTGCCCTGTCACATCTATCATTTGAAAACCAGCAAACCAATCAATAGTGGCATAGGTACATAATATAACAAAAGTAGCAGAGCACCCAAAAACTGAAACCCAACAATTTATGAGACTGATATAGATTTGCTTAACCAGATACAGGTTGTGCTCGACTTATGATCATAATTTGGACGAGAATTTCCAATACTATGCGATGCAGTTGTAAAGCACAACCACACTGCTTAGCAATGGCAATCTCTGCAGTCCCAGATGCTGTCGTTACCTGAATCCCATGGTTGTTAGGCGAGGCAACTTCCTGCCAACCTCCCACAACCAAGAGGTACAGCAAGTTTTTTGAGGGGTGCGCAAGAGTGCAAGGGAAGTTCAGGGATGGTGTGCAGAGGTGCGAGGAGATATGTGCAAGGCACTGTGTGTGTTGGGGATGGTGTGTGAGGGTGTGAGAGGGTGCACAAGAGGTGCTGTACATGTCAGGGAGTGTGCATGAGTATGCACAAGAAGCACAGTGTGGGTCGGTGAGGGTCAGGGAGGGTGCACAAAAGGTGCCATGCGGGTCAGGGGAGGTGTGCAGGGATGCAGTAGGGGTTGGGGAGAGGGTGTGAGGGGTATGCAAGGGTGCAAGGGAGGCACAGCAAGGGTCATGGGGTACACGCAGGGATGTACAAGTGGCTGGCATGGCACAAGTACTGAGGGGTTGGGAGAGGGTACACAAGAGGTGGAGATTTACCCCTGTGACTTGCAACCTTCCCTGCCAGCTTCCCGATTGACCTTCTGGTGATCACATGATTGCAGGGTGCTTCGCAATCAGTCATAAGTGCAATTAGGTTGCGAAACACCCAGATCACGATCACGGGGTGCTGAGATGGCCAGAACTCAAAGGACCGGTTATAACAGCACCACTGTAACTTTGAACAGTCACTGAACAAGAGGTCATAGGTCAAGGACTACCAGTGTTTCCAGTCTGATGGACAAATATACAAACAAATCAGGGGAACACTTATGGAATGGCCCATCTCAGGATTCATACCCAACACAGTTCTGGAGTATCTGGAAGAAACAGTATTCTCACTCTGCGGCATGACAGACTAAATAGGTTTCATCTTTCAAGTCTGAATCTCAGAGCTAAACTGGTGGAATTTACACTTTTGGTAAAATACTGTGAGTACTTCCCAGTTCAATTTACACCCACCACACTCCCAGTTAAGCCCATCCCCATATTTCTAATGATAAAAGAGAGGAAATAAACATTAAGGAGAAGATCATATCAATCCAAAATTACCAACTGTACAGTTGAATGACTGTGATCAGCCGCATGTTTTCCTTCATGGTCTAAGTAACATTTATCTGCTGAGAAATCCAACTATCAATGAAGTTTTGCTCTTTGGTCTTCTCACACCAATTGGCTAATGGTCCATCTAATCAGAGCTTCTTAAAAGTAATACAGTTGGGATAACAAATTCTCCTGTTCCCCAAAGGCGTTTTTATACATTTTCTGAGCACTGCTTTAAAATTAACTCTGCCTCATGCACCTTTTGATTCCCTTGCCCAAACATTAGGTACCTTTATATATACTGTGTTGAGCAACCAATCTTCAGCTCTTTACTCACTTACTTACTTATTCAATTAATATAGCCATATTATATTACCCTGCCATTTTGCTGTCATGGCCACACTCTAGGATCATTTTCCTGGATTCAGCTGGGACATACAATTTGTCCCCTAGCCACCACGCTCCTTTCTCATTTGTCAAAGAGTCTTTATTCGCTTGAAACCACTCCTCCTTCTCCAAGTGACACTTCAATTCATTTAACAGATTCCCCTCTGGCTCTTCCCTCTGCTCTTTACTTTGAGACCTTTAATTGCTCGAACGCCAACTGGCACTCTTCTGTCCAATTTAAAGGCGCTCCCAGTTTTTGAGCTTTTGCCTGGTCTTTCCCGTTCATTCTTAACAAGTCAGTAAGAGGAAGGGCGACTTGAGCAAAATTGGGATGAATTGGTGGTAAAAATTTGCAAAACCCAGGAAACTCTGTAGTTACCTGCAAGTCTTTGGCGACTCCCATCCAACCACATCCCGCACTTTAGCCGGGTCCATTTCAATCCCTCTATTGGATATGCGATATCCCAGATAAATCAATTTGGCTCTTATGAAATTCACACTTAGAGAGTTTTGCATATAACTGGGTATTCAGTAACCTCTTTAGCACTTCCCTCACCAGTTCCACATGTTCCTTCAACATTTCTGAATAAATTAGAATATCATCTAAATATATCAACACCCCCTGATATAAAAATCCGTGTAGCACCTTATTTATCCACTGCATGAACACACCAGGTACTCTTGACAACCCAAATGGCATTACCAAATACTGAAAACATCCAAGGGGGCAGCTGAATGCTGTTTTCCATTCATCCCCCTCTCTAGTCCATACTGAGAAGTACGCTTCCCTTAAGTCCAGCTTGGTAAAAAATGTCTTTTTCGATAGATGGGCTAGCAAGTCCTTCATCAAGGGGAAGGGGCATTTGTTCTCTTTGCAGACAGCATTTAGCCCCTAGTAATTCATGCACAGTCTCAGTGAGCCATCCTTCTTTTCTCTAAACAGGATGGGCGCCGCCAATGGTGACTTCACAAGCTGTATAAAGCCCCTCTCCAGATTTTTATCAATAAATTCCCTCAGTGCTCCTAACTCTTTAGGAGTCATAGAATACATTTTTGGTTTAGGGAGTTTCGCCCCAGGCTCAATCTCAATGGCGCAGTCCATTACTCTGTGTGGGGGAAGCTGATCCAACTCCACCCCACTAAACACAGCTTTTAAGTCTCTATACTGCTCCTGAACTGAGCAGGTATCTTTGGGGTCACCTGTCTTAGGAGATTCCATTCTCGCTGCTGCTAGCACTGACCTTGGGGATCTGACATTAGCCCCTTTCTGAACAGTGTAATTCCTGTCCTGAAATATCAGGCTCCCCAATTTTCAGTCCACCTTAGGATCCCACAGCCTTAACCAAAGCAGACCCAGTATTAATGGATGGCCAGCAATTGGAGCCACTGGACATTTTAAAGTCTCTCGGTGAGTCCCAACTCTCATTTTGATTGCTTCAGTGTAAAATTCTACTGGGCCCCCTCCTGCTGGTGACCTATCCAATTGCGTAAAAACAATAGGGGTCTTTAACCTCTGCACCCTTAGTCCAAGTCCTTCACAATGACTGGATTAATTAAGCAATAGACCCAGAGTCTATTAATGCTGTTTAGTCCACTTTGCGATTGGTTTTGATTGCCCTCAGTCTCACCACAATGGTCATAGGACTCACCATTACATTTTCACTCTCTGAATCATCTTCTGTTGTCCTCACACCCCGGATTATTGGCCTGCTTTGGGGCATATTTTAAAGCAGGCGGCTGGAGTTTCCTGCCGGCTGAGCTTTATCCTTGGAAAGCTCGCTCTCCAGCATCAATGGGACTTGAAACTGCTCCTCCACTCCCGAAGCAGCTGTTCCTTTCTTCTCCAGCTTGGGACTTTTCAGCGGGTTCCTTGCTGGCTTGGCTTTTGTTGCAGTCTGCGCAGGATGGTTCTGGGGACAACTCATGGCATAGTGCCCCTCTTCTCCACACCTGAAGCACAAGTGTCTCCCTTGTCTCTGATCCTGGCCACCCACCCTGGGTTTCCAGCCCAATCTTCTGGACATCGGGCCCGACGAATCCACGGGGTTTCAGTTGCCTTTTCTTTTAAAAGACATCCAATCAGCCTCTAACTTCTGTGCGAGGCCGATCCACTCTTCCAGGGTTTCAGAGTTGTCTCTGGCCAGCAAACGCTCCAAAAGGTCAGGTTGTAGCCCCTTTTGGAAATACTGGACCTTGAACTCCTCAGGCCAGTTTTGGAGCTTCCCGGCTAGCCCCTTGAATTCCAGCGCATAGTCCGAGACTGTTCAATTCCCTTGCTTGATATGCTCAATGGTCTTCTTTACTCTCATGATTGGGAAGGGATCTTCCAAGTGTTTGCGCAAAACACTTATGAACCCATCCAAGTTTGTCTGTTCTGCTGCTCCAGCTTCATGCATTTCCACCACCCAATCCACCAC